CCCGGCAAAAGGGACGTTAGCACCATCGAATAGCACTAGTATGTATAACTAAACACCATCTCGTTAGAAAGAACTTTCATACAAGAATAAAGAGGAAATCATAAAAACAAAAAAGTTTCAAATAAGCACTATGTCAGCAATATAAGGAGGTTCACATGATTTTCACATAGTTTCTGAAATTTTAGATTGGAGCATCCCACATTGTTGCATCATTATTCACTTTGCCACCGCTTCTTTGAGCGGAGTCCGATCACGGCCCGATCAGCTAATCCGTCTCCCGGAGACGTTACCATTATTTCATTCACACTTTCCAGTTTCAATCATCAATACATTACCACCATGTGTATATATCATTGCATTCGATCACGGCCCGATTGGCTAAGCCACCTCCCCGAGACGTTACCATTTTCCATTATTTCTCTCATTTCACATATATCAGTTCATAGGCACTTGGGGCCACAATTATCATATCATACTTGGCACTAGGCCACATTTCATAGTTCAAACTCTTTTCCTCCACATCTCACATCAATATCAATTTCAATATCAAGTCATTCAACCCAAGATGTCAAATACACATGAGAGGAATCATGAATCATGGGCATATACAATATTTCGGAAATCATACACCTCAAGTTTATTAGCAATGGAACTTTAAACACAACATATTCTTCCAAAAGGGAGGGGACACACCAAACCACAATAGAAACACACATCAAAGGCCTAAACAAGCAATTACACCAATTATTCTTGAATTATTCTTTTCCAATCATGACTATATATAATTTCAACATCGAAGTATGTAACAACTTGGATCATATTGAATGTACTTATAAGGCAAAACATTATCTCGAACAGCCGCTTATGGGCATAAATTGTGTACAAAGCCTTTAGGGCACTATATCATTGAAGTCATTTATGGAAATCAGAGGCAAGGCTCATTTCATAATCTGTTTCATATTTTCTCATGGCATAAGCATCACCAGGTACAATTATAATTCAAGTTCTCGACACATTGGCCACACTCTATTTCCCAAATTCATTTGATTACTTCAACCATATCTATACACAGAGGATTTCACATAGTTTGGCATAATTTATGCAGCTCAAATCTCAATTTAAGGTCTTAGCATATCAATACATGATTCATATTCCTTGCACCCTTTTTAAGTTATCAAGAATCGCACATTGATCATATTGGAATGCATCTTTCACAAATATAGGGTCACATCACCAATTCATGTAAAGTATCAATCAAAGCAAGAATCCAAAGTTCAGTCTTACCACATTTACACAAGCATCAATAGAGCTCAATTTCTAAAAGACGGGGTTTTAGCCATACATATCTGAAATTTGCCCCTTAGTGATACTACAATGATCCAATACACTTAAGCAACTTCAATCTACAATACAACATTCAATAGGGCTAATATTAGTAATAAATTCCATAACTTATGTCATTTAGGCATATTATCAAACACCTTGTAGGTATAGATCTTTACATCTCATAACTATAGTATTGGTCCATCCAACTATCACCATTAACCAACAATTCATCCCACCATTATTCTTTAACAATTTATAACTTCCAACAGCATATGTATGACCATCCATTCACACCCAACCATCAACCTCCTTAATTAACCCATTTCACAATCTCTACAATACCAACACAACCTAGGTTAGGCACTTATGGCTTCCAATCACCATCCTATGAGTTTTAACGTATATATCATACATAAATAATCACCATATAGTAGTTAGAGATGATAGACATACCTCTTGTAGTAAGAATCTTGAGAATCCCCACTTGTAGTGTTCTTAACCAATTTAGGGATTTGAATGGGAATCTATGGATTTTCAAGATCAATCCTTGTTAATATAAGTGTTTAGGAGTAGTAATCAACTCAAACTACTCCAAAAACCTTACCTTGGATCATAGGAGGGAGGTATGGGACGGATTCCCCTTGGTAGAGCAAGCCCTTTCTCAACAAATGACTTAGAGACTCTCCATACCCGGTCTTGGGGTATTTAGAGATCTACTACTAGTGCACCCGCGCTAAGGCCGCGCTCAGAGGCAGAATACTTCCCAATATGTGCGGTCGCGCTTCCGCCGCGCACCTCGGCGCGCATATGACACATACCCAGTAAAATGGTCGTAACTTTCTGTATACACCTCCAAATAACGAACGGTTTGATGCGTCGGAAACTATACTCAAAGAGTTTTAATTTGATAGGTTGTGCATCACACAATAACTTATATAACTGGAGATATTATTGTCCAGAGTGAAGTCTTGTGCGTACTCATTCACAACTTTAGTCCATTATGAAATTTTCCAACTTGGCTTAGACTTAGGCCTCTCCTTAGACCCCAAATCACTTACAATATGACTTATACGCTTATTAACATATCCAATTGATATCCATTATATCATGGATCCGCACTTGCACACAAAATAAAATAATTAGCCTACCTCAGCTCCACGAAATCTTAAATTACTTAGCAAAATTTTCTGGAGCTTTACAGTAAAGAACTATATTAAAAGTGCAAACTATTAACATTTACCATAAATTTTTGAAAACTTTGTATAACAATATACATATATATAGGTGTAATAATAAATTTGAAATAATTACTCCTATAGTCGGTTTGGTTCGATATTTTTCTGACTAAAACCAAAACCAAATCAAATTTGACCGGTTTTTAAAATTCAAAACCAAAATCAAACCAAACCAAAAAGTATCGGTTTTTTTGGTCGGTTTGGTTTGGTTTTCAGTTTGTTTCGGTTTTTTGGGTTTTTATGAACACCTCTAACTATGGTGGTCGTTTTGTGTATAAAGAGATTGGGGTATGTTGGGTTGTTTTGTAGTATTTTTGATGTATATAAGGTTTGAAAATAATGTATATATGTTGTTATTATTGTATTATTGTGTTATTGGTTTTATCTTGAATTTGGAGGAAGTAAGGATTATAGGGGAGATGCTGCCCGTTTTAATACAAAATAAGCTTGTCGTTCGTTGTGCGATAGTTGTACCTTTCATAACTTAATGATAGTATTATTATCGTTGTTGTAGATTAAGGTGCAAAGAGAAGTTCAACTTGGTGATTGGAAAGATTGTGATAAGGTATGTAAAGACTAAACCTTTCCTTCATTTTGGCATGATCCCGAACTACATGCGTTTGATAACGAGGCATAAAGAGAAGTTCTTATTCCTGAATTTATGTACATTATCCTAGTCTCATAAGCTACAGTATTCTCCCTTATCGGGACTTCATATTCAGTTTAGTTTTGTCTTTTTTCAGCCAAGAGAGTCGATAGTCTATATATATACAGTATTTCCACCACCATCGAGATTTAATCGATGGGCAGACCCCTATTGGGCAACCTCTGATCAAATGGTAAGTTATATACCGAGCCTATTGTGATTGAGCGCCTATGAGAGAACCCAGAATGGCCGAGATACATAGCCTAGTATGGCCAAGCGCCTATGAGTGAGCCTACTACGGCAGAGCAGTTACACATACCGGGCCTTATAGGCCGGACAACTATTTTACATACTATATTAAGAGAGACGAGTCAGTATTAGTAGGTAAGCATATCTTCAAATTATATTTGACTCCTAGGTACTTTCAGTTATTATATTATCAGTTTAGTTTCAGCTTTCAGTTATTCTGTTGCCTTACATACTCAGTATATTATTCTATACTAACGTTCCTTTTGCTGGGGACTCTGAATTTCATGCCTGCAGGTCCTGATAGACAGCTGGATAGACCTTCCCAGTAGAAAAAGTCAAACATCAGCTTGGTTGGTAACCTCCATTTCCTCAGAGTTACCATGTCTATACCTTGGAGTCCATTTTATATACACAGGTTTGATGGGTAGGTCGAGGCCCTATCTCGACCATGATACAATTCAGTTATCCCTAAAGGCTTGTAGGCGAGTCCTGTACATTTTTGTATATCGGTATTGTAACTTTACCAACCCTATGTAGATATTTAGTTTGGTATTGTTGGTTGTAGACGTTATTTTCAGATGATTCATGATTCAGAATATGGCCTCATCGACCGAAGTTGATGGTTACCCCTCTAGAGTTCACAGTTAAAGAGTGGTATGCTCGGGCCGAGTATAGCACCGGGTGCCAGCAACGTCTCTTCAGGTTTGGGGCGTGACAAACTTGATATCATTAGGACAGTTGATGTAACAAGTTCCATAAATTATTTGTAAGCCTACCAGCTTCAGAATCTCAAGATACTACTCGAAGACAATTAATTAAGAAGGATACTCATGATGCTGAGTGTTAACTGACTCGATTATTTTCATATGTTTGTTAGAGTATTCTATATACATTATTTAATTTGTTGTTCCTACGCATATAGATTAGTATAAGAAGGAAGACATAATGCTGATTCCAGCAGACAAATAGTTGTCGTATTAAACTATAGAATATACGGTTGTGCGCTGAGACAATTTCCTCACAAGTTCCATGATGTTGTATGGAAGTCGTGGCATTGCACGGAACAAGTACACTGCATTGGGTGACGGACAGAAATCTCATAGATTAGCTGTAGAAAAGATTAGATCTTTTCAATTTGATGACTGCGTTTTGCACAGAGCCAGCCAAGTTATGGGTTCAATACTTGCAATCACTCAATTACCCCATATGGCTTTTGGGTCGTCAGTGTGGACATTAGGCTTTCTAGCTTGAAATTGGGGGCCCAAAATATATTGGAGGGGCTCATCACCAGTCCAATTGTAGAACTACTCGCAGCCCAAATGAACCATTTATTAAAGAAACCCCAAAACAGCCGATGCTCCACACTTTTTAAACACTTGAAGGTGCACTTAGCTTGTTTTTTTATACGGAATTTAAGCTTATTTTTACAACACTGATCCATGACCATGAATATAATTAGAACATCTGCACTCAGTTGACTTCCGATCTAAGTAATATATTAATTAGAAAAAAAGATAAGAAAGAAATGGATTAAGCTCTAATAATAGACCAAAGAACTCGTGCCGAATTTGCTATTAACATAAACTTCCCCAGTTAATGCACATCAACATTCATGATCCAGAAGGCAGGATAAGGCGTAGCTTACAAAAAAGATACGCCTGAAAAGTTCAAAAACTGGCAAAACCACCATGTACAATGCTCTACAAGCCTACAACCTAAGAGGATAGTGTATACACTAAACTACTTGGAACATAGAGCAGAACCCAAGCAAAAGGACCCATTTCGGATTGTGCTCAAACGCTGATCTAGAATTCGTTCAGACTGGATGCCACGGCCATAGATGCTGCTACGCCTCCAGGATGTGTAGCCAAGTCACGCTTAGCTCTTATTTCAGCACCCACCACTCCTTCTGCATCTTCCTTCTTCACTGCCTTGTCACCTATAAGCCTGCTCGTTGCATCCTAAAGAATAGTAAAAAAAAAGAATTACGTAATTTCTATCCGCCGATTCTTTTACCCAATAGTAAACGCAAAAGGATCAAAATTTCCCCTATACAATGCGTAATAGAATATTCTTGCCGTCCGTTAAAAAAGTATCTCATTTGTATCCTTGCCATAACCAAAGTGGCTCGATTTTGCCCTTATAAGCTAAGGGCAGCAGTTAAAGGCAAATTTCAAAAAAGTTGTCAAGGACAAATTCGACCCTTTCTTAATGGAAGGCAAATTGCACTACTAGTTGTGTCAGATAGGGCGAAATATTTCTAAGTTCTAGAATGATGTTGTCTCATATGAAAAGACTTACTGTTAGAACATCACTGAGAGAGGTCTTATCATCCTCCGGCGTGGTTCGAGCATTTATTGCAGCTGCATGTTGAGCTTCTGCTCCTATACCTCCCGGCATCACTTCGGCTAGTCCCGTAGCTCTTACTTCTGCAGCCTGTATAGCTGCAGCGTCGCTCTGCTCAATTGGTTTATCCCCTGCAGTAAGAGCCACTGCCTCCAGAGCTTCACCTATGGTAGTGGACTCGGACTGAGCTCCTGTTGTAGGATATCTTGCTGCTCTCTCTCCATCACCTGCTTCTGATGGATAAATATATTGTCCAACAACCTAAAATTGATAAAATCCTTTAATGTATTTTTTTTTTTTTTGCCTGGCTTTAATACATATCAACCCACCCAAAAGTGCAGTATTTTGTGCACCCCTATTTAGCTTTATGGCACTCGCAGTAAATATATATATGAGTTCAACTTTTATGTTTTCATTTTGAATTTTAAAATTTGAATTCAGTTTAACCCAATAAATATTAAAGTGTATACTACGGCCCGTTTGGCCATACATTTTGGCTAACGTTTTTCGAATCTTTTTTGAAAACATTGTTTGTTCATAGATTAATGATCTAATTTTGAAAAAAAAATTGAAATTATTTTTCAAGTTCCCAAAATCTAGTTTTAGGATAAATTTTGGGTGAAACTTGTTCTTCCCCTCACAAAACTTTAAATTTTTTCCAAATAAAATGCATGTCCAAACATAATTTTAACTTTCAAAAATTACTTTTTCAAGTTTCAACTAAATTTATGTCCAAACGCTAGCTACATCTTAGATACTTTTCCCTATTTAGTCGTTGCTTAAGTTAAAAAAAATTTGCTTGAACGTTTTTACATTTTATCTTTAGTAGCATAGTACTCTTATATTCATAATTCATAGAACAAATATCATGACGTTTTTTAAACCATGAACTAGATCTAAAACTAGTTTTGGTATATGTCAAAAAGAAATTTCTTTACTCCATGATCAAATATCTTGATATATAGTGGAGTAGAAGTACCTCTCCAGCGACAGCTTCTGAAACAAGGCGAGTACCCCCAACTTCTGCTTGAGAGACAGTGACACCTTCATCTCTGGTGATATCCGTCATGTCATCACGGCTTACGGCACCAAGATGCTCATTCTGAGCGGCGGCTGACTGCATAATTGACGCAGGACCACCTCTTGGAACATGACCTAGCGCTATAGTCTCAGCTGACTGCATGATAGTTACATCTTGTGGCGCTACGGGTTTTGAAGCAAGTTGGCTTGAGACCTCGAACACGTCCCCATATTTGATTGGTTCACTGCCACCGTGCAGCATTGGTTGTTCTTGATTCATTTCTTTTCCGTTTCCAACGAGTTAGTATACAGTTTTTTTCACTGGAAAACAGGGTGTCATATCGACCTCCATTAAATAGCGCCAGGAAGGAAAAGGTGCGGTCAACAATGTATTAGAAGTTGGAAATACACGTGTTGCAGTGCTTGGTGGAACACTTCAATCTTGATTTTACAGGTGCTGGTTTGTAGGTTTCCGTTTAAGCCAGCCACCTATTCTTTTCTACTTAAAACAAAAGTTCTTCCTGGGGTCCTGTTTCTTGAAATTATATTCGGAAAAGGGTCGTATATGTCCCTTTACTTTTAAATATTGTTTATATTTGCCCTCTTTTATACTATCCGACTTTATATACCCTTGTCGTTAGACTTTTAAATAAAAATGCTCCATTGTCTAACAGACCAGTAGGACCCAACAACCAAAGAGACAAGTGGAAGCTATATACTCATTTGGATATACCCATCTATTTAGCCTAACCCAGACCCTTACAAATANAAAACAAAAAACAGGAAAAAAAAAGAAGTTGAAAAGGATACAGAGCTACAATGTCGTTCGAGCAAGAACAAAAATGATGGTTTGAAGGCCAATCACTGTTACAAGTGTAGAAATAGAGACCACCATTACTCACCAACTTCAAGAACAAATTAATCAGTCTGTTCATCAATTTCTTTTTAATGTTTTACTCTACTTTTATTTAATATATAGGAAAAGTGGGCTTTTACTTTTAGTCGAACATTAATCACTTAGCATCTATTTTTGAAGTTTTGGGTATTCAGAAGTGTTATTTTTGCTGGATTTAGTTGCTTCGAAAGAAAGATTTTAGAAGGAGATGAAGTAATAAAGAAGGGGAAAAGATCTCGATTCGGGTGTGGGTTATTTGCAAGGGTCTCGGTTAGGCTAAATAGATGGGTATATCCAAATGAGTATATAGCTTCCACGTGTCTCTTTGATTGTTGGGTCCTATTGGTCTGTTAGAGAGAGGGACATTTTTGTTTAAAAATCTAACGGCAAGGGTATATAGAGTCGGATAGTATAACGGAGGGCAAATATAAACAATATTTGAAAGTAGAGGGACATATATGACCCTTTCCGAAAATCTAACGGTAAGGGTATATAGAGTCAGATAGTATAATGGAGGGCAAATATAAATAATATTTGAAAGTAGAGGGACATATATGACCATTTTCCGAATTATATTCGATGGAACAAACTTATAAGCATTACGTGGAAAAACATAAAATACTCCCTCTTATTAGACGACATATTTTCTTATTAATCCATTCAAAAAATGACACATTTTTATATTTGGAAATAATTTAACTTTAAACTTTTTATTTTACTCATTTTATTTTTAATGAGAAACATTTATAACTACATAAATATCATGGCCCCACAAAACTTTTACCCCTTAAGTTTTTAAGAGCACAGTTTTTTTCCTTAAACTTCGTAACGCGTCAAACTACATCATCTAAATTGAAACGGAGAGAGTAATTTAAAGTAGGTTCAACTTTCACTACAATATCATCTTAAAAAAGGGCAGAATAGTCTGATAGATACTTGTACTTGTATTGTTTTGACATCTCAATCCTTCTATTTTGCGAAGTTTCATCTAAGTACTTTACGTGTCCAAACGGAGTATTTTAAACACCTCCTTGTAATGACTAGGATACGTGTTTCTCACTTGCTTGACGGGAATGATACATCAGATCCACCTCACATGCCATGTCATTTTGTATTTTTATCAATTAAAAATTCCATTTAAAAAAAAAATCAAACCCCTTGCATTATATTCTCTCCCCCATTTTTGGGTCCTTTAAACCATGCAATCAGTCAACCCACCGGAAACAATGGCTCATCTGCACGTTTTCTCCAAATCCAAACCGATAGAATTTACAAGATTTCAATTGAAACGCAAACACAAATTCACAATCACACCACCGCTCACCGGCAACTTTCACCAGTCTTACCCATTTTAGACCCACTAGTGACCATCGTGACACCACTCCTTTCGCTTGCGACAAGAAAATAGTAGCCATAGAAGATAACCAACAAGTTCAAAATTTTGAAATGCTTCAATCACCATAAAAGATACCCAACAAGCTTAGTATTTAAGAAGTATTAAAATTCAAACAAAATTTATCTATTTATTTATTTTTATTTTTATTTTTATTTGTGAAAAACATTGGTGGAAGAAAAGTTTTGATTAGAAGCTTTAACCACAGAAAAAAATGGGAAAATCATATAAAAGGAAAAGGGAAAGGAAAGAAAATGAAGATGGTTGGAGACGAATTTATAGAGGAAGGGATGCACAAAAAAGAAAATCTTACTGAAGAAAGGAATAAATAAAGATGAAGAGAAAGGGGAAGGGGAGGAATATGACGAAGAAAAGAGAAAGAGAGGGGGAGAACGAGAGAAGGAGGTTAACAGTAAGGGTATATAGAGTCAGATAGTATAATGGATGGCAAATATAAATAATATTTGAAAGTAGAGGGACATATATGACCCTTTTCCGAATTATATTCGATGAAACAAACTTATAAGCATTACGTGGAAAAACATAAAATACTCCCTCTTATTAGACGACATATTTTCTTATTAATCCATTCAAAAAATGACACATTTTTATATTTGGAAATAATTTAACTTTAAACTTTTTATTTTACTCATTTTATTTTTAATGAGAAACATTTATAACTACATAAATATCATGGCCCCACAAAACTTTTAACCCTTAAGTTTTTAAGAGCACAGTTTTTTTCCTTAAATTTCGTAACGCGTCAAACTACATCATCTAAATTGAAACGGAGTGAGTAATTTAAAGTAGGTTCAACTTTCACTACAATATCATCTTAAAAAAGGGCAGAATAGTCTGATAGATACTTGTACTTGTATTGTTTTGACATCTCAATCCTTCTATTTTGCGAAGTTTCATCTAAGTACTTTACGTGTCCAAACGGAGTATTTTAAACACCTCCTTGTAATGACTAGGATACGTGTTTCTCACTTGCTTGACGGGAATGATACATCAGATCCACCTCACATGCCATGTCATTTTGTATTTTTATCAATTAAAATTCCATTTAAAAAAAAAAATCAAACCCCTTGCATCATATTCTCTCCCCCATTTTTGGGTCCTTTAAACCATGCAATCAGTCAACTCACCGGAAACAATGGCTCATCTGCACGTTTTCTCCAAATCCAAACCGATAGAATTTACAAGATTTCAATTGAAACGCACACACAAATTCACAATCACACCATCGCTCACCGGCAACTTTCACCAGTCTTACCTATTTTAGACCCACTAGTGACCATCGTTACACCACTCCTTTCGCTTGCGACAAGAAAATAGTAGCCATAGAAGATAACCATCAAATTCAAAATTTTGAAATGCTTCAATCGCCATAAAAGATACCCAACAAGCTTAGTATTTAAGAAGTATTGAAATTCAAACAAAATTTATCTATTTATTTATTTTTATTTTTATTTTTATTTGTGAAAAACATTGGTGGAAGAAAAGTTTTGATTAGAAGCTTTAACCACAGAAAAAAATGGGAAAACCATATAAAAGGAAAAGGGAAAGGGAAAGAAAATGAAGATGGTTGGAGACGAATTTATAGAGGAAGGGATGCACAAAAAAGAAAATCTTAAGAGTAAGGGGAAGGGGAGGAATATGACGAAGAAAAGAGAAAAAGAGGGGGAGAACGAGAGAAGGAGGTTAAGGGAGGGGAGTTTTGTTATATTTTTTCATTTTTCTTTTGTTTATTTATTGGTTTTGTCTTTTTCTTATTGGTCATATATATATATATCTACTAGCTAAAATAAGCTAATTCTATCCTCTGTTATACTATTTAATCAAAATTGTCCCTCCCGTTCAAGTCTCTTGTTCAAAATACCCATCTACTGTCAAATTCCAATTTTAAATTATAAAAAGTCACGTGTCGGAGTCCTATTGGCTAAACTAAACCCACTCCTCCTTTTCCTTTGACCCAATCGACCCGCCCAAATCTCTGACCTATCATCTTCCCAACCTCACCCTTTCTTCTTTCCAACAACTCATTCCTCTAAATACTACAGGGCAAATTCCTCAAAAAATGAAGATAGAAAATTTAACACTCAGATAATTAGCTCATTAAGCTCAGTGCTCCCATTCAACTATGAAACTAAACACTAAATCTAAAAATTTTACACCAACTAACACAGAAAGAAAATTGATTTAAAAGAGAAAAAAAAAAGAAATACTATAATTTATCGAAAAAATCAAAGGAACTATAGTAAGTGTTGATAGAGAATCAATTATCTCTGCAAACGTGTGGTCCGCTTCATCAAAGACAAGAATCTTCATGCACTCATGTCCATTTTTCTTGTTGTGACCCACTTTTGTATAGTTCCAGGAGTGTCAATTATTAATTGTATTGAAACAGGCCGATATTTTGAAATTGACACATAGTTGGTTGCATCTGGTTGGATAGCTAATTCTGTTATATCAGTGAATTTCTCCTTTCTTATCAGCACTTCCATATTCTGCAGCATTTTCCACCATTTAAACCAAATCTTCTGAAGTTTTTATTTGTTTGAATTGATGAAAAATCTTCTTAATATTCTCTTTGAAATGTAACAACATTAAAAGAGATCCTTCTTCATCTCAACATTAAACACATATTTTTCTTCCTCCAAATACTATGGGGCTAAATGGAGAAATGAGCTGCTGAAGAAAGATGGAAAAGGTGAGGTTGGAGAAAGAATGCACTTTTTAAGGGTTTTTTTCTTGGTGATCGGATTATTTGGACGGGTCTATTGGGTCAAAGAAAAAGGAGGAGTTGATTTAGTTTAGCCAATAGGACTCTGACACGTGACTTTTTATAATTTAAAATTGAAATTTGACAGCAGAGGGGTATTTTGAACAAAAGACTTGAACAGTAGGGACAATTTTGATCAACTAGTATAACGGAGAACATATCTAGCTTATTTTAGCTAGTAGAGAGGCATTTATGATCCTTTTTCGTTTTCTTATTTTCATTAAAGTAAAATCACCAATTCAGTGAATTCACGTATCATATGTGCGTATAAATCATGCAATTTGTTCACCTCGGCAATATACACGCCACATAAGCTTAGTTAATAGTCAAAAACGTTTAAAATATTATGTTTAAACAAGTACAAGTGTTTAAATGAAACTTCGCAAAATAAAAAAATCGAAATATCAAAACAATATAAGTACAAAAATCTAACAGACTATTCTGCCTTTAAAAAGATAAAACTTATTCAAATCATAAGTACTTAATTTTAGCAAACTCAACTTTTTCTGGTCCATTTTCAAAAAGGTTCATCCTGCCAAAACTAGAACTAATTATGATTCTTCCAAGCACCAAATATAAATAAGAGATGAATTACCTTCTCCGGTAA